AATAATGATGCGCGAGGGATTATTAGAGGTTTACCGTGATCGCATGCAATACAACCGCCAAATAATTTTTTGAGCGGAGCGAGCAAAGCGAGCGAAGCTCTTTGGGATCAACTTCAATGCAACAAATAAAGAAACATCAATAACGGCTGAACGTATTTCAGCCAAACTTAACAAAATTACTTAGACTAATAGTGAGATGGTTTTTAAACAAAAAAATTTCAATTAGATAATGCTAATGCAATTTAAAACGAACTTAAAATTTCCAATTTTTAACATTAGGCTTATGGGACTAAAGTAGCCATGACAGTTTTTTTGTTTACAAGAAAAATGTAAACAAGAGAACTTTCTAGACTTTTCTTTTAAACGTTTTTAAACCATTCCTATGATCTTAATAAACAAGAAAATACTGTAAAAAGATTTTTTAAGGCGCGGAATTCACTACAAATTGTGAAAATATACTGAACTACTTCCTCAATGCGCGGAGCATATCGCAGTGACTACTTACTCTTGGGCACCTATTTGTGTTGCCAGCTGATTAGAAACAGCCAATGTTAGAAATCATGATTTAATAAGCGTTATATCGAACCGCATTGAAATCGATATTTAATCCGATAATACCTCACAGGTTATATTATGTTGAATTACATCGACGGTACAGTAAGTTTCACACTTATTAATAAAACGCAGATTGAACACTGATCTAATTTAGGCATGTGGGGAAGGTAGTTCGGGGTTTATGAGTATTCGTGACTACATTAAGTGTTTTGAAGTAAGGTTTAGATTAGGAAGGTATAGCTTTGACATTCCATCCACATGTTAAAGTTGTAGCCAGGTTTTTTATAAAATTTGTCTTAGTTGATGTGAGCCACCTACAGATTGCGCTGATCTAAATTACTGATTTCTGCCGATTAAACGATGGTTTTTACCAAGACAAACTGATGGAATGACTTATTATGAGCTATATCAACTGTTGTGACCCTGCAAAACGATGTCGTCAGTAACAAAAAAATAAGGTACAAAATAGAGTTTTAGACACTAGCGCAATCTATGAGTGGCTCACACAACCACATTCTTTTTTAGTAAAAAATTGACGACAGCTGATCCATATAGATGGGATGTCTTGTGGTTATAGGTAGGTGATCGGGTTGTTCATTTGTGTTGCACCATATAATTTTTATCTTTTGGAATAGTTGGTTAAACGATTTCAAAAATGCTTTTAAACGATTTCAAAAATGCTTGCATATGGTCTTAACAAACCATCTACAGTATTCTAGCATTGACTTTATATAAAGTCAATGATTCTAGCAAATTACTACATAAAAACCAAAAGAAAAGAGCATTTGGATTTGGACCTTTGACCATAGCAAAACTAACATAATTTATGAAATGTGAAAAGTTGTATATCATTAAATACTATTCTGTAATATTAATAATTGTTCGGCAAATCCTCATTTTAATGGCCCGGCTGAAAATGGAATCTGCATTTTGTGAAACAGTAATTTGGTAACAATTCAGTAATTTTAAATGTTGATAACAGTAGCCTATCCTATATAAATTCTGTTATTTGATTGCCAAGCCACGGACTATACATACGTCCAGTTACAACCGTAATAATAAGTAAATAATTAATAACCTGGGCTTATAGAAGTACACTTCTAACCACGGTATGGATAATTTGTCTAGACCTGTCCAGAAGTGCTACTAATTTCTAATTATATTATCTACATTGTATATTTAACATTTAAGGCATGTCTTCCCTTCTTATTATTATTCTGTTTTCTCATAAATCAGCTGAATGCGATGATTACTTAAATTACTTATGTTTAGGCTTACATTTCAGCCATCTTATTTTATTGTTCAATAAGTTAGTCTTTTTGCAGTTTTTACGTTTTTACACATTGAAATACATGATTGATAATTCAGTTCATTTTAGTCTTTTAAAGGTGTTTTACATTTGAGTCTTGCATTAAAATAGCCCTACATTTTTCGTAGGCCTATGTTTTATCTTTGACTATCAATATAACTAGACATATTCCATCCCCATGTTAAATTTGTAGCCAGCTTTTTCATCAAAATCTTCTGTATCCAATGGTCAATGGTTTTATTAAGGTCAGTATTAAAATGCCGTCTCTAAATCGTCCCAATAATGGTAGAAGACCTACATTCCAGTTACATTACAATCATATCCACCATCAAGAATACTTGGTATTAACAATCATAAATTATTTCCAGCAAAGAAAGCTTAGTTTAACCGATTGCAAAGGTTGAAATGAAGACCAATGTTTATGTTGCACAGTTGAATTTAAATGTCAAATTTACCCTCCTGATGTTATACTTTAATACTCGTTTTTTAAATAGTTACTGTTTTTTTTTTTATACTTAAAATAACCGATTGTAAGGGTGAAAAATGAAGTCCAATATTTATGTTGTAGGCTACAGTTGAATTTGAATGTTAAATTTCCTTTCTCTTTTTTATACTTTAATGCCCTTTTTGGATGTTAATATCAGATTCCAACAAGTAATATTTTCCTGGTCAAAACTACCATAATGCACTTCCGGAAGAGGTATCTGAATAACAAGATGTAGTAAAAACAATTTTAAATTATTGTAATTTTAATCAATAAAACAAGCATTAGAACATCTATTGAATTTTTTACATTTAGTTACTCATACAAATATCAAATCACGTTTGTTCCGCACAACTGGCTTTCACCTCTCTTAACGCAACCCTAGTTTATTTCCAATTTCTGAAGACATCATTGAAGGATTTGAAAGAAAATGTCATACTGCTGCAGTGTTTCTTGACGTAAGCCAGGCCTTTGACAGTCTCACTGTCTCAAAATGAAGCTATGCACACACAGATTTCACATCAAGCATCGGCATATGTTTATCTACAGTCCCAATCGGCTTATATGTAAATGGAATTTGCTCCCTATGTATTTCATACGGGAGTTTATATTTAAAAAAATTGTTTTTCTTTTGCGAGTTCGTTTGGTTCTTCTACCCGAACAATTTTTATGATCGAGGTCTCAAATTGAAGATATGCACGCACAGTAGGTTTCACATCAAGCATCAGCGTATATTTATCCACAGTCCCAATCGGCTTGTACATAAAACAAAATTTTCTCCCCATGTATTTCTTACGGGAGTTTATAATTCTAAACATTGTCTTATAATTGCTTTTAATACATCTCCAGTTTGAATGAAGGCAAAGACTTTGTTTTGGTCTTGAAATAATAATTAAATTACGGGCTTTCATATGAGAGGTCAATCATTCAAATCGGACAAGTTTAAGGCGATTCATATGAGCTTCCAATGAAGACAAATTTTTATTTTTCCAAAATTTGACTACAGTTAAAAGATTTATACTCATGTTCTAATTGTGATACGTTAAATGTTTTGGTCTAAGAATTTCCAGTAAAATATCGGCTTTCATTTAAGCTATCAGTTATTCAAATTGGACGAGTTTCAAGCAAACGCAAGGTGAACAATCAACATAAAATTTATTTTTTATAAGGTTTTTCTATGATTAAAAATCAATAGCTCCAGTATTTTTTATGTTTTTTAACGTGTTTTAAACTCAAAATAATCAGTAAATTATAGGCTTTAATTTGATCAATTATTTATTCAAATAGGACAAGATTTCACGGTCAGCCTCCATACAACGCAAATCAAAAATATTTCAGGTTTTATTTTTAATAAACGATCTATAACTGCAGTTCTAATTGAGTGTTACGTTTAATATTACGTTATAATATTTACGTTAGTTACGTTATAATATTTGGTATCACAATGTTATTAAATTAGCAGCCAATGATCATTTAAATCCGACAGGTTTACGGCAGGTTATGGACTTTTAATTCAGATTAATTTAGATTTGTTTAAAACCTATATATTACAAATTATTGGGTTTTCTTTTTTTGAGTCGGTTTGGGTCTTCCACCAGATCGATTTTCATAATCTTGGTCTTAAATTGTATGCATACACAGATTTGCCATCAAGCATCCGCATTCATTTTTATCTGACGTATATTTCGAGTTATGCACAAATGCAAATTCCTCCCTGTACATTGAAAGTTAGTATTTATTTTCCAAGTTCGCTTGGTATTTCTACCCGACCGATTTTTATATTCTTGGTCTTAATTTAAAGGTATGCACACACAGATTTACCATCAAACTTCATCATTCATTTATGTACTGTATTACCGGTACTCAACCAAAAAACATAAATTTGATTTTTTTAATTCTTACTTGAATTAACGATGTATTTCACCAGTTCTAATTACATTATCCTTTATGTTTTGGTCTAAAAACCTTCAGGGAAAGGCCACCTTTCATTTGAGTTATTGATTATTAGATTCGGAAGTTCCTAATCAGGCTGCTGAATCACGAATGAACAATAATTATAATTATTTTAAGACTTATCAGCACTATTTTTATAGCACGTAACACTATTTTTATTTTAGTTGTTTTAAATGTATTGGTTTTGAAATATTCCTAGAAATAAAGTCTATCATATTGATTGTTTAAATCAGTCAAGTTCAAGGTACTGTATAGTGTATACTCAATAAAATAATATAAATTTGATTATTTCTCGGATATGGGATTTAATTTGAGATATATTTACTCAATTATAACAACGTTATCCTATGTTTTGAACTAAGAACCTTTAGTTAAATACCAGCTTGTATTTGAGTCTTTGATCATTAAAATTGGGGATGTGCCTAAAGCACGCTGCTGAATCACGAGCATTGTTCCAAAAACGGAGTTATTTATCATCAATTGATAAATGCTTTTGCGATTATCAACAGTAACTGCCGATTTTGACAAGTTCACCATGTGAGCAATAAAAATGTAATGTACCTGGATGGCAGAAAAACCCTGCTAGTTTGCAATTTCATACACTTTGTTTTTTGTTTAATTAATGTAAGCAACTCTCATTTTAGTTTTAGTGTGAATGTTTTGTAGCCTCAAGTAAATATAGTAAATATCTTGTTACAGGGAGAACATATGGCGAGGAGAATGATGTCCCTGTATTGTGTGTTCATGGTAGAACAGATAATTTGGAATCATTCTCTCCACTGATACCCCTACTCCCTCACAACCACTATTATGTATGCATTGATCTACCTGGGCATGGAAAATCTAGTCACCCACATAAAGGTTATATTGTTGATTTTGTTTGGTACGTTTTTAGTGTGAAAAGGATTATCAACCACTTTCGATGGTCAAAAATATACTACTTAGGACATAGTTTTGGAGGCCAGATAGGGTACGTACTTACAGCTTTTTATCCGGAACTTGTTTTGAAGCTGGTTGTAATAGACAGCCTAATATATCATCATCTTCCTCCTGCAAACACTTCAAGGGCTTTGAGAGAGTTACTATTTGATGCACACTTTAAGCTCGAGAGCAGATCTAGTATTGATCAAGCTCCTACATATACAATTGATGAGTTTGTACAAAAAATGATAGAAACCCGAAAAACTGAAGTTACTAGTGAACACATCAGACCAATAGCTGAACGGAACTTGGTCAAAGTAAACGAATTTAAGTACAGATATGGTAATGATCAAAGGACTAAAATACTAAATGGTCTCTTCTTTACATTTGATCAGATAAAGAACATTGCCAATGAGATTTGCTGTCCCACAATGCTGATTCTTGGGAATAAATCTAATGTCACCAAGCCGCATGACAGGCTGACCCATTCACCTTTACACAACAATTCAAATGCCACATTCCACATTATTGAAGGAGATCATGATCTTCACTTGGTTCATACTCCTCAGGTAGCACGTCTAGTCTCTACATTTCTTACCAAAGGAACACTGAGCAAGCTTTAACCAAAAGGTACCGTAGCAGGTTTGTGTAATATATTGTGTGAAGCCATTCCAAAAAAGGTTATAGTATAAATCTATAAAATGCATACAGCTTTCTATAAATTGAAGTTACATAGTTATATGAATTTATCCTTTACATTATTGTATATAATGTAGTGACTCTAGTGATTCTACGAGTAGTATGACACAATTCCATGGTTGTAGAAAGGATTTGTATCTGTTAGGTAACTAATGAGCTGATCATATGGTAGAACCACACATTTAAGTTTAGTAACAACAGTGATTATATATAGCCAGAAAAATGATAAAACAAACATCCTGCTCATTATGTACATTCTGGATTAACTTAGATACCGTAGGTTTTTATTAGCTTATGTGTAAAGCTTATTTTAAAAGATGATGAGGGTGTTGACTTCACTTGAGTTTTGAGACCAAATACAGAATTTCCAAAATAACACTTCAAGTTAGGGCATCTTTTATTGGTGGAATGGACTTTGATAGGGTCTTAACAGGTAACTAATGAGGTGATCATATGGGAGAACCACACATTAAGTTTAGTAACAACAGTGATTATATATAGCCAGAAAAATGATAAAACAAACCTCTAACCGTGGGAAATAATAAAAATAAAAAAATAAATAACACTTAGGCTTGTTTCACATCTACCCGGCATGCTGTTAACCTGACTTCTAGTCGGCACCGGGTGCACCTTTCACATTACGCTCACACCGGCACTCCGGCAGTTGTACTCTAGCTTGTGAAACGTGTGTCTTAGGGATGGAAATGGAACTTAATAGAGCAAATTGTAATGTTACTTTGAAATAACTTTTATTAAAATTGTATTTATATTTGGATTTTTTTTATTTCATTCAGTTTGAATTTAAGTAAAATTCAATTCAATGTTATGTAATAAAAAATTTAAAAAATTGAGTAAAAATTTAATTTAGTTCAAATAATTCTGCTCTTGAACTAAATTAATAAGTAGTTCATGGTCTATTTCCGACATGGCCAAAACTTTGCGAACAAATACCCAAAAGAAATACACAATAACTACAAACAACTGAACTAAAAGTACACTTGGTGAAGACGGCAGGTGCCGGTTGTATGTGAACAGTCACATTGGGCCGCTATACCCACAACTCCAGCTGGCTTGTTTACCTGACACCGGCAGTAGGCCATTGCCGAGGGGGCACCCGGCATCCCTCGACTAATACCTGGCAGCCGGGCAAATGATTAACCGTCATCGACACATGTCGTGCATATGTGAACGGTCCCATATACTTCTTCATCCCATTGCCGGTTAAACGACATCCGGCACCCGACAGCCGGGTAGATGTGAAACAGGCCTTAACTTTATTTGTTTCAACTGAAAAAGGATTCTATTTTTATCCCAGTCCTGAGCATTAGGTCTACTATTAAATCCAAACTAAGATATGAGTGTATTAAACAAAGTGTTTCTAACTTAAGCCTTCTAAATAGTACATAAATAATGTTATGAATCACCAAACATTCAAGCTCAATAATATAGAGAGTAACCATAGTTAAGCTCAATAAAATTACTTTTTGTATATTGTGCTGTAAAAATCCTTTCATATAAATTGTCCAGTTGAGTTAAAATGTTATTTATATATTAACAGTTCAATATTTCCTATTTAATAAATAAAAGTTTTTAAATACATTTGTGTTAATTTCTTTACTAAATCATAGGTAATATGGTTTTGTTTATACATCATTATTTTGATCTGCTGTCATTAGTGAGCCAGTGGCATCATTTCACCAAATCCTTGTGGGGGGGGGGGCAAACACCAGGGGGTATGGAATACCCCCAGCAAACAAGGGGGTCCGGGGGACCTCCCCCGGAAAATGTTGCAGTTTTGAAACAAAAAAAGAGGGGCTTAAGCTTATTTTAATTGTCAAAAATACTTCAAATAAAAAAAAATGAGTAAAATTTAGGCAGAAAATTAATGAAACTAAGAATTATTGACAACAGACAGAAACACAATAATTTTATGTTGATAAGTTAGTCATCTAAGAAACGTGATCAATAGTTCCATGATGTATTAATATTATTTTTGTTATTAGATTCATGACCAATTTCTCGTGTACAACATTTAGCAATGAATACGGTTGTTCATAGCTATAGTTTATAACAGTTTATTTTGTTTTTTAAATAAATACAAGTATTTAGAACTTAAAAGCAAATCAAATTTTATCACCAATAAAATAATTTGACACAAAAGTACAAATGGTTCTATTTAACTATATTAAATTGGTAGTCTACAATGTTAAAAAAAAATTACGTAAAATTTATACACATGTATAATTTTAATGCTTGAATAATTCATAAAAGTAAATGACAAAGCAGTGCTTCTAAAAAATCTGAATTTTTATGTATACTGTATATATATAAACTATAAACAAGTGGTTTATCGTACAGCACCAAACAGAAATACCCCCGCCGCAGCCAACCTGCAGACTAAGCGAATTTCAACTTGTCAATACATTTTTACTCAAATATTTCCATAAACATATTTATTCCCAATTTAAATAACATTAGATTTAACAAGTCCTTAGGTTTGCTGGCTACTGCTACAGGGAAGGTAAAAAGTGTTTTTTGACCATATGTCAATAGTATAGGATGAAATAAATAAATTTGCCAAATTTTATCAATATATATCCATAAACAAGTAAACTACAACAGTTTTCATTTTCTCCATAAGGATAACATGGAAATTTTAAATTACACTTTTTTTTAATTTTCTCCGTGACTGTTAGGCATACAACAGCGCTTCAGTATACTAAATTATTTCTTTTTTTAAGCTCTACAAAATGGTTGAGAAAGAAATTGAAATTTTTTTTTGGTTTTTAGGGTAAAAAATGGGGAAAACCCATCTTTACCCCTAAAAACCCCCATAAACCCCTGTTCCCATGGTCCGATTATGTTGGTTCGCAAACTCGTTTGAATAAACGTAGGTTTACACGTTTGTACCAAATTTCATCAAAATCGGATCATTTTTGCTCGAGTTATCGCGCTAACGGACACATATATTAATTATATATATATATGAGTTTGAACGGATGGTGTTTTTGGTCTCTGGGGACCTCAAAATGAAAAAGTAAATCGGTCCCGGGTCTAGGTCTTACCATGAGACCTACGGTAATAGCTTATTCCCTATATGGGAAATTCGCTAAAAGTAAATGAATAACAATACTACTAATTTATGTAAACTCAAAATGTGCTATCTAAGACAATAAAACAATAATAATTTTTGTTTCAAATTACTGTACAAGAATATACAGATTTTTGTCTGCTGTGCTTTTTAGGATTTGACAGGAGAAAATATTTGTTTATTGGCTAGTACAGATCTTATTAATATTTAGGGTACTCTGTAACTTAGTTTACTGTAAAAGATTCACGGTTTAATGCACATGCATTTCGAATTAAGAGTCCTTGGATGCTAGCGGTCATCTTTGATGATTTCAAACAGCGGTCAAAAGGTTATATATAGTCAAAAAATATTTTTTTCAAATACCGGTACCAAAGTGATTGCAATTTTAATATCCAATGCACTGTGAGGCCAGAAATTAAATTTTCTTTTTTAATTGTTGTCTGAGTTATAACGTCTAGCCTCCAAGGACAATAAGAAAATATTGTATACAACACAGTTTGAGTTTTTAACTGGTGCCAGCAAATGGAAAGTACACGAGCTTTATTTTAACAACAAAACCGCAATTTTCGATTCTTTTGTAAATATTGTACAATAAATAAAGTTACATAGTATACTATTTATGATTTAAAAGCTTTCTTGAAACCAGCTATTCATTCAAACGAGCTATTTATTTTGGTTATGACATAATAAAAAGTTAATACAATCATACATAGGCATTTTGTTATCCCTCCATATGCTCACGCTTTGATGTAAATTATATTCAATTTCTAAAAGAAAAACTAGTTTGGCGGCACAAATGGTAAAAATTGGCCGATTTACATCAAATTTAGTATCAAAATAATGGACATTTTAAAACAAAACATTATATGATAGGCTAATCAATATTAATAATTTTTGTAAATAAATTAACTTCAGTTTATGGTATTGGGTGTCTAGTTTCTGTTTTCGTTGAGCGCAGCCAAGCGACATTAATTAGGGTCAGTCGGTCGGGCAACTCCACAATAGCAGAGGAAGGTAGGCCTCCTTTTCCTGGTCCGGAGATACCCTGTCCACAACTATAGTTAATTTAATTTACATTCGTACATATTACAATGTAAAAAGCCGACAGAAATTGTCGAGAAAGCCTGGACAATTTGATTTATTTTACAAAAAAAAAAACAATGCTAATGACATCAATACACACAGTAGGAATTTATTCGATAAGAAAACTCCTTAAACGATATATTTTTAGCCTTTAAATACTACCCTGTGTACGCCACTATCTGCTCTGTATTTTGCTAATTTTCTTTATGCTGCCTCTACCCTAATCACTAATTCATCTGAACAAAGTAAAAATATGTGTGTTATAACATTTTGGATATATGGTATTGCGTTTTAAACCATAATAAAAGCTAAAATACAATTTAAGAGTGTTACTGAGAGAAAGTCGCGACCCTGTAATTTTCTACATTTTTTCTATCCCACCAACACATCTTACGCTAGTTCTAACCTGTAACAGTTGTACACAATATTTCAGGCAAGTCCTAGATCGTAATAAGAAATAATGTACAGACAAAACTCTAATTTTATTTATATAGAAGATGTCTCGTGTTCACATAAACTTTCAGTGAACTGATAATTTGTCAATTGGTAATGCTATCATACTTTATTTAAATATTGATATCAGTAAACTAAACTATACTATGAACATACCCGCGTGAAGTTGGCCCCACCATAATGAGCACAAATTATAAAAACATGTCCATAATTTAGTGCTGAATTTGTGCTTCTCAAAGGTATATATAACAAAAAAATTGTGCTCAACAATAACACACCAAAAAATTATAAAAACTGTTGGCGGGGCTAACTTCACGTTCAGCCCGCCACCAAACGAATTAACAATGTATTATACATAGAAATTTAGTGCTCATTTTGTGCTACAACAATATATAGTTTTTATAATTTGTGCTCTAAAAAACAACGAGTAAATGAGCTCTTAAACTGCTGCTGGTGATGACGTCATCCGCCCCGCCACATTGAGCAAATCGGTTGAAAATGGTGTCATGATTTAGTGTTCATTTTGTGCTACAATAATATATATAAGTTTTATAATTTGTGCTCTTAAAACACCCGAGTAAATGAGGAAAAACTGCTGCCAGTGATGACGTCATCCGCCCCACCACATTGAGCAAACCATGTAACAAACTATTTTGTACCTGACATTTTTTCCGAAAAACCAACTCGTTTAGGAGTTACAGCCTATGAAAAAAACATTGGTTGAAAATGGTATCACGATTTAGTGCTCATTTTGTGCCATAACAATATACAATTTGTGCTCTAAAACACCCGAGTAAATGAGGAAAAACTGCCCCCGGTGATGACGTCATCCGCCCCGCCACATTGAGCAAATCGGTTGAAAATAGTCACTTTTAGATTAAATTCATACAGTATACAGGGTGTTTTAGCCACCATTAGAATCTTGTAAACGATACATCTTACAGTAAACTTAAAATCGGGATCATTCTCTTGTTTTTAAAGATGTTGAAAAATAAGTAAACGTCATGTTTGTAAATGGCCGCCATTTTCCAACATGGCGGCCAACTTAGATATTTCTTATGGAACACCCTATATTTTATAACGTTTTCGGGTAGAAAATGCAATTTAAAAACTATTTTGTACCTGACATTTTTCCGTAAACCAACTCGTTTAGGAGTTACAGCCTATGAAAAAAAACATTTCCGGTGTACTTTTAATATCATGTAGCCCCTAAACGAGTACGTTTAGAGCAAAAATGTGAAGAATAAAAAAAGTATGGCAGCAAACTTGGAAAGTAGAAAACTGTGTAACTCTTTTAGGATTGTAGATGCAATTTTAAGATGTATTTAATCCTCACATTTTTGCTCTAAACTTACTTGTTTAGGGGCTACATGAAGTTAAATGTACACCGGAAGTCTCTTTTTCATAGGCTGTAACTCCTAAACGAGTGGGTTTACGGAAAAATTGTTGGGAATAAAATAGTTTTTAAATTGCATTTTCTACCCGAAAACGTGATAAAAATATAGGGTGTTCAATAAGAAATTTCTAAGTGACTATTTTCAACAGATTTGCTCAATGTGGCGGGGCGGATGACGTCATCACCGGCAGCAGTTTTTCCTCATTTACTCGGGTTTTTTAAGAGCACAAATTATAAAACTTATATATTGTTGTAGCACAAAATGAGCACTAAATCATGACACCATTTTCAGCCGATTTGTTCAATGTGGCGGGGCGGATGACGTCATTACCAGCGGCAGTTTTTCCTCATTTACTCGGTTGCTTTTAGAGCACAAATTTTAAAAACTATATATTGTTGTAGCACAAAATGAGCACTAAATTTCTATGTATAATACATTGTTAATTCGTTTGGTGGTGGGCTGAACGTGAAGTTAGCCCCGCCAACAGTTTTTATAATTTTTGGTTGTTATTGTTGAGCACAAATTTTTTTTATATATACCTTTGAGAAGCACAAATTCAGCACTAAATTATGGAC